TTTTTTTTGCTCTACTAATTGTAGGCTGTCATTGTTGAATTTTATAGTCTCTCGGGTATTGCGAAAATCCGCCTGGTTTTGAAAGCCTGGAAACTATGAAGAAGAAATATTCGAACATTGATGAAGACTATAAACCATTACGTAATCCGCTGATTTGGGAGGAACCAAAATCCAATGATGAAGCCTGCAAGGATCGAGTTCGATTAAATCTTGAAGCAATCCTTCGAAAATATCATCGTGAGTTTTGACGAAATCTTATCTTAATGATAGTATCGTCGTAGGATTAAGCTCAAGTTTAGTAAACATACTTCCAGAAGCATGCATTGATAGACAGTTGAATCTGAACAGACTGTATTTTAAGTTACAAATTTCAATGTTCAAAAAAAGGGAGAAGAAGGTGGGAATACAGCGAATGTGAATTGAATTTAAGTTAGAGGCTGCTTTTTGAAAAGATTTACCTTTAGCAGGCGATTTCGAAAGGTTCAGCGTTGAGTTTATTGTCATTACATAGGAAATCGTACAGTTATATTCTGAGGTAGTTTGTATAACTATCTGTAGCTGAAAAAAAGGATTTTTTTTCAAATCGATAGAAAAGTGTCATTATTTTGACAAATTAGTTTTCAAATTTCCAAAAACAATTATTTTCAGAATTATCGATGCATTTTGGGGTGGTTTATTTTGAAATTTCTACATTGATAAGAGGCCTATTATTTGCTGAGTCTACAGATGTCATTAAACGAAAATTACACGTTGACAACGCTGAAACTGTTCATCGTTAAAAATTTAACAAATTAAATTGAACGGAACAGAGGAAATGTTTTATTTTTGGTTATTTTTTATTCCAAAATTGGTTTATAATTTGATTTAAAGAGTGACTGTTCAGTTTTTTTGGTTGTTGGTACAGATATTAGTTGTTTGTACACAATGACTTAGAACTGTATATCTGTAAGAACCTTACAAAAAGAGTTCAGTACTGCTGACGTTTGAGATCAGATTACTGTTTGCTGTTTTGGAAGTCGTATTTATCTCATTTAAATGATATTCTATCAGTATAGACTGATGCAAGGCATAGTTATTCAAAAATTTTCAGGTACAAATATACTAATTGTAACACATAACGACATAATTGCTGCTATTCATGACTACCTCTGCGGACCAGATAACTGGAAATATGTAGGTTTGGCAACAGTCTCAAAATTTGTTGAAAAACGTGACGGTAGTTTTACGTGTGAACTTAGTGGCGATTTTTCACACTTAAGTGATCCAACAAATCTTCGAATATAATCAAAACGTTGTAACTAAACTTAAGCTGTTACTATGATTGGCAATTTCCTTTTGCTGACTCTGCAGAAGTAAAATCAAGTTTTGTCAATCTTTCTTTCAAGTTTTCTTAGAGAAAAGCAACAAAACTATAGTCTGACAGAAGTGAACTTGTTGGAAGAAAAAGGAATTTGAGAGTTTTGGTTTGTTATACTTATTACATTATTTATTGCTTAATATTTGTTCGATCAGGAATCATGATCTGTTATTTGCACAGACTAACACCTCATTATTTGTTATACATATGTTGGATTAGTTCATTCTAATCATTAACCTCATATATACCGCTATTTTATTTGATAACACCCATTCTGCTATATTTTTAAAATCTAAAATACATTAAGTTTTTTTTTGTTTCTGTTTTAAGGCCAATAAGTGGCAAAGGTGATTTGAAAAAATTAGTATTATTTTAGGTGAAATTATTGAAACTATTTTGTGCAATTTTTCTGCTCTTTTTTTTTTCTTCTTTCTGCCTTTGAGACGTTGGTACGGAGACATTTTTTATATGTTTTATAATGGGATAACTGCTTAGGGTTAAAGAAAGGGAAATGCTGTAAGTGATTCGAAAAAAAAAATTGACGAAAACGCGTAAGATAGGCTAATCCAATACATTGGTTTGAATTTCTTTTCTTTTTCTTTATTCTCTTCTACCTTTTCTTATTACTCAAAAATTATAACTGTAATATAATAACAGCTTTTATACTGTCAAATTACTAATAATCATTATTGCTGTGTTGGTTTTGCCTTCCAATTATCGTCTTTTTACTTTTACCTTTGGTCATTGGCCATAGTTCACAGTTTTTTTTTTTTTTTTGTTCTAATCAGAAGCACTCAGGACACATAAACTCAAATAAGTTAACAGTGGAAACAACAACGATGGTAAAAAAAAAAATTGGTTTTTTCTTTTGTTTTGCTTTGCTTTTTGTTTTTTTCAGACAAAACTATTCGAACTGTGATAACATGAACTGATCATGCTGTTTGAAAACAAAAAGGAAGGATTAAAATTCTTAATATGCTCTTTAGTACGGCTCTTTATTTTCTACTTTTTTTTTACTGTTCACTCAAAATGCTTCTATAAGACTATTAAAGGAGATTAGAAAATGAAAAAAAAAAAAAAGAAAGGGAAAAAAGAGAAGATGGAAGAAAAAGCTTTACTTATTTATTTTTTACTTATTTTTATCAAATAGCTTACAATGACGGGTTATCATTTCTGCTTTTTTTTTTTTTTCACTTCACACTTTTTCACTTTCTTTATATTTCTGCTGCTATTTTCATCCGTACCTTAACACTGTTTCATTGTTTTTTGCTGGTCTCATTTGATTTGTGCATATTCATTGGTCTATAATTGGTATTCATTAATCAAAAATGAACGGATACACAAA